AATGGAGTGTGTCAGGGTTGTATCCTTTCCCCATACTTATTCAATCTATATGCCGAGCAAATAATCTGAGAAGCTGGACTATATGAAGAAAAAACGTGGCATCAAGATTAGAAGAAGAATTATTAACAACCCGACATGCACTGACGATACAACTTTGCTTGTTGAAAGTGAGGATGACTTGAAGAACTTATTGATGAAGACTGAAGAATACAGTTTGCAGTATGGATTACATCTCAATATAAAGAAAACAAAAATCCTCACAACTGGACCTATAAGCAGCATCATGATAAATGGAGAAAAGAATGAAGTTGTCAAAGAGTTCACATTGCTTGATTCTACAACCGATGCCAATGGAAGCAGCAGTCAGGACATCAGACAATGTACAGCACTGGGCAAGTTGGCCGCAAGGGACTTCTTTCAAGTGCTGAAGAGCAAAGATGTCTCCTTGAGGACTAAGGTGTACCTGACACAAGCCATGATATTTTCAATTGCCTCATATGCATGTGAGAGCTGAAAAATGAATAAGGAAGACTGAAGAAGAATTGATGCTTTTGTGTTGTGATGCTGGTGAAGAATGTTGAAAGTACCGTGCACTGATAAAAGAACTAACAAATCTGTTCTGGAGGAAGTGCAGCCAGAATGCTCTTGGAAGCAAGAATGGCCAGACTTTGTCTTACCTACTTTGGTCACGTTATCAGAAGTGACCATTCTCTGGAGAAGGATGTCGTGCTTGGTGAGGTGGAGGGTCGACGAAAGACGGGAAGGCCCTCAACAAGATGGATTGACACAGTGGCTGAGGTGATGGGCTCAAGTACAACAAGGATCGCAGAGCTGGCATGCGACTGGGCGGTGTTTTGTGCTGCTGTGCATAGGGTCGCTATGAGTCAGAGACAACTCTAGGGCACCTAACAACAACAACAACGAACTGGTCAGATGGAGTCTGGGGACCCCTGAGACTATGGCCCTGGGATACCCTTCAGGCCTGGGATAGGACTCACTCCCAAGGACTGACCCTCTGCCCAACAGTAGAAAGTATTACATGCAGAACACCCAACTCAAGGCGATGCACCCACCTACTCTACGGAGATACACCCCTTGGAGCAATCAGCCATAGGGCACCAGAGGGGCACATTCACATGGAGGGAAAACAGGACAAACAGGAGTGCATAGTTAAGAATGGCCTGGGCATGGGGGGGGGGAAGGCCACAGGGAAGTGGGGGAGGAGAATGAGCTAGGGTTGAGGATGGCAATCAGCGTGTGAAATCAAATGTACACGAACTGTTGAATGTAAAACAAATTCTGTCTGTAAATCTGCACCCAAAGCATAATTTAAAAAAAAAAAAGGAAAGAAAGAAGAAAAGAAATGTAAAAGATATTAGTCAAGCAAGCAAGAGAAGGAGAGATAAGGGAAGAGAGATCCCAAGCCACATGAAGAATGCCCAGAAAATCAAGCCCAGAAGAGACAAGGATCTTTCTCCAGAGTTCACAGACAGAAAGCTTTCCCCTAGAGCTGGTGATCTGAATTCAGACTTCACATCTCCTAAACTGTAAGAAAAGGAATTTATCTTAAAGTCAGCCACTTGTAGCATTTCTGTTATGACAACATTAGATAACTAAGATAATGCCCTTAGAGAATTACTTTTAAAATAAATATTGTTTGTAATTAAGATATTACTTATGCCACTCCTCAGAAGGAAGGTTGGGCAATCCTACTTCTATAGTGATACTGCCTCGGAAACCCAAGGAGGGGTCGCTATGAGTCGGGCCGACTCGACGGCAAACAACAACAACAACAACATTCCTAAATAGCCTAAGGAAGCTCAGGAAAGCAGCTATTAAAAAACATAATGGCAACAAGTCATTCCCTGTGCTTTCCTATTAATTGGTAACATCTGTAAGAGAAGATTTGCCATGTGCAAAAAAAACCTTCAATCTAGCCTAAGTGGATTTTCAAATATTCTAAATTTCTGAAGTTTTATTCCAAGGACATTTAGTCATATAAAATACAGTCTTCTTAATAATCTGAGGTGGGATGTGAGGGGAAAACAACTATAAAAACTTTGGAAATCCATTTAACAATTTATTAATATTCTAATTTTATTGCGGCAAAGTAGATACACATCAAAGCCAGAATGGGGAAAAAAAAAAATGGCTGCCCCAAATCCCTCCTTTCACTTGGCTTTAGAGAATATTTACCATTCCACGCATGCAGCGCACAACATCCCCTTCACAGCATCCACCGTACTGGGAAGAAATTTCTCCTACAAGGTAGGTAAGTTCCTTAAATGCAATCCTGGGGAATTTTTGGCTAAGTTCAGCAATGTTTCTGGAAAGAGAATTGATAAACCACTGAAACAGTTTGAATAAGAGAAGTTCTTTGCAAATACAATAAAAAACAAACCAAACTCACTGCCATCAAGTCAGATCCAACTCATAGCGACCACTCCTTGGGTTTCTGAGGGGGTATCTCTATGGAATTAGATTGCCCAACCTCCCTTCCAAGGAATGGCTGATGAGTATGAACCACCAACCTTCAGGTTAGCAGTCAAATGCCTTAGGCACTACACCACCTGCAAAAAGCATTGGTCTCTGTCTTTTTCACTGCTGTTTTCACCAAATAGCTGTTTGTATGCTACATGGCTTGCAAGACCACTTTTAAAATTCTTTACTGTTATTATAGGACACTCAAGCAATGGTATTTTGAATTGTGTCATATGCACATGAAAGCTGAACAATGAATAAGGAAGACCAAAGAAGAGTCGATGCTTTTGATTTGTGGCGCTGGCAAAGAATGCTGAGAGTACCATGGACTGCTAAAAGAACTAACAAATCTGTCCTGGAAGAAGTGCAGCCTGAATGCTTCTCGGAAGCGAAAACGGTCAGACTTCATCTCCCTTACTTTGATCATGTTGTCAGAAGCTACCATTCCCTGGAGAAGGATATCATGCTTGGTAAAGTGGAGGGGCAACAAAAAAGGGGAAGGCCCTCAATGAAATGGATTGACACAGTGACTGCAATGATGGCTCAGGTATAGCAAAGATTGTGAGGCTGGCACAGGACCGGACAGTGTTTCGTTCTGTTGTACATAGGGTTGCTATGAGCCGGAGACAACTTGAAGGCACCTAACAACAAAAACAACAACAATAGGGCTCTGGGTCAAAGCAAGGAGAGGCCTGAGAGATGGAGATATATACTCTCTCCCATAATTACCGCAGCATAACACAAGGTATAAGGGCCACCACCTCCTGCTTTCAGCTTGGGGCAGGCATAGCTAAGCCATCACAGGACTGTTTTCTGCTGATATATTTGAAGTCTCACAACTTTTCTCAATGTATTGCTCTACCACCATTACCAGTTAATTTAGGTTGTTAGCAGTAGAGATAAAATGTATCCTTAAAATGTTGTCTCTTACTCTTTAAGGGCAGAGAGAAATAAATAAGTCCTGTCTAAAGCATTTGGTTTCTGGTTGGGGACTCCTAGACATGTTAAGATTCCTAACTAACAAAAAAAATATGTATCCCAGAAAAGCCCCCCCTTCTCTTTGGGATCTCCTACCTCCCAAGTATTCTCTTATCCTGACCTAATGTCACATGGCCACATAGACTAAGACCAACCTCAAAATTCCTGGGGAACCAGAAAGAGTATAAGTAAAAAGTAACCAATCATTATACAAAAATGAGATAGAGACAAGAAAATACAAGTAGAGCCAAGATATATATTATACAACTCACATAGAGTTTAAGGTTTTTGGTCCAAATCTCATAAATGCCCCACAGACAATTTTTTCATAAGCAGAATTTTCTTTTAAATAGTGTATGACAGGTGGCGCCTGAAAGAGAAAGAGAAAATTCTATTGAAGCAAGAGTAAAACACTACCATTGTCTTATTTTTAAAAAAACTACATATCAAAATATTCTGATACTTGCTCAGAAGCAGAAAATCTATTATTTTTATTATAGTAAATTTACATATCAAAATAAATATGAATTTCTGGCCTTCCTGATGACTGAATTATATCTTGTGGGAAGGTACAGGGTGTTCATTTCATGCAGCACTGTGCTATGAGCTTAGCCATCCTTTCTGGGAAAATTCCATTTTATGGGAAGCCAAAAAGAACTTCCTAGGATATAAAGTAAAATGGTCATCTTTCCTCTGACTATTCACACCCTAGGATATCTTTCAATTTACAAAGAAGACAAAGCCAGAAGAGAGAACCTGGAAATGGAGAATTCTCTCTCAGCGGTCTCAGGTCATGAGAACACTTAGATCAGCAACTTGAGACTGATGTTTGAAAACCAGTGAAAGCAGCAACAGAGTCTCATAAATGGTAAGCAATCCATTTGCTCTGATTCAATATTAAGTGAGGATTTGTGGTATTGGGGACTCCTTATCCTTTTATGAAATAAATGCAATACTCACCCTTGTTTGAAAGCAGCGGGCTATGTCTTGTTGTGTACAACATGTGTTAGCCACCTCCTCAAAACGAGCAGCAACAATTAGAAGGGTAGGGGCGAAAAGAAAGGGGTTTCTCCTAGCAACTTCATAGATATACCTGGGGAAAAAAGGGAAGGAACAAGAAAGGAAGTAGACAAGGGAAGGAAAGGGAAGGCAAAAGGGAATTGAAAGGAAAGATAGGAAGAGGTAAGAAAAGCAAGTTGCAAAAATGAAAGTAAGACGAAGAGTTTACCATAATAGAAGTCTTCAGAATAAGGCAGTATTATCCAGTCCCCAACTGTTATGAATTGAATTATGTGCCCCTGAATATATGTGTTGTGAATCCTCTATGCCTACAGTTATAACCCCATGTGGGAAGGGTTTGTCTTTGTAATGCATGCAAATGAGGTAGGGTGTATCTGGAGTCAATCTCTTAAAATACAAAGAAATTAAACAACTGAGCTGAGAGAGAGAGATGGGGTAAAATAGATCCCAAGAAACATGGAGAGCTCCTTGGAACTAGGAAACAGAAGCTGAAGAGACAAGAACTTTCCTCCACAGCCAACAGAGACAGGCTTTTCCTAGAGCCAACACCCTGAATTTGGATTTCCAGCCTCCTAAAACTGTGAGAAAATAGATTTCTGTTTGTTAAAGCCATCCATTTGTGGCATTTCTGTTATAACAGCACTAGATAACTAAGACACCAATAAAATACCTTTAGAGTTCTTATCACTGAAGTTGCCTACTTGAAAAATAAGGGTCATTATTGTAGTTCTAATCCTCAACACCACACCCTAGAACATGGCTACTCTCCTTCCTTCCCATGTTGTCAAAGGTCAGCATCTCTCCCTTCCATGTCCAATCACAGCTTCACTCTCCTCCTCAGGTGTAGGAGTCACACATTTAAACTTATGTTTAAATAAATGGGATTAGGGTTTCCAATGAGCATAATAGCTTTCCAGAAAAAAAGTCTCTGCTTCTAGAATGACTGCAGTATTGAAAAGAGATATTTGCTAAATATCCAGTAATGTAATTTTTACCTCAGTAAAAACTGCACCTTCCTCTTAGGCAGAACATTTTATTTTGTCCACAGTGCTTCCTAGCAATTTGGCACAGTTCACACTCATCTAGGTTATCACATTAGTAGATATATAACATTAATGGAAGAATTTTGTAATCAGAGTCCATATCCTATTCATCTTTCTGTCCTCAGAACTTAGCACAGAATCTGACACATTATACATGTGGAATGAATGAAACCATCAATCAATGAATGTAGCCATGTTCCTTTGGGATAGAGATTGGATAGAGTCTAAGAATAATTCTTCAATCAGATAATTTTTCTACTAAAATTAAACTTACTTCTTTAAATAAAGGTCTTTCTTCTGTTGATAATCCTGGCATTTCTTTTCAGGATCCCCAATAGGGAAAGGAGGTAGAAATCCTACATCAGCTTTCTTGTTAGAGAGGAAACAAGATCTTCTTTCTAAGTCTCTTCTAATGCAGCAGTGTGAAAAATTATATTTTTGTGGCAGCCCCTCCACAGCACATATACTTTCTTGTAAAACATCATTCTGGACAACAAAGGAGAAAAAGGGTACTTTTTATTCATTGTAAAGCCACCTTCTTCTTTGCCTTCTGCGATGACAAAATGGACATAAGGAATGATCAAGGTGACCCATTGGGAAAGGGACTGCAGTTTTCCCACTATTATCTATGCCCTTGACAACCCTCCCACACTGTGGGAACCCTTCTGTGTCCTGTCCTCGGGCCTCTTAGTCTTTTACTGTTTCTTTGCTGACTATATATCCTTTCCATGATGGCTTTTCTCTTCATCTCCCAAATTGACAAGGATGTTGTGTTAGTGTATTGGTAAACTAGTTGGTAATGGTGGTTAACACTAATTTTCTAAGATGTACTTGGTGACTCTGTATAGAGGAGACCCAGAAAAGAGGGCATGACCGTAGAGCACATATCAAGAGAGGCAGCTTATATGTGCCTATACTTTGCCATATATATGATATGTCCATGTACTTTGCCAGGCTACTGGCTGCCTTCTCTGCCTGTATACATATCACATGGGCAGCAAGGACAAGTGCATCATAATACAAAATTTCATCTTTGCATCTCTCCTGGGGGAAAGTGACTTATCCTAAGATACCTAAGTTGGTCAAAATAAAAATGAGGTGCATAAGGCATCTGCCTTTTCATATTTTCAAGGCAGAAATTCTCCAGTGTTGATGAGTGAGCATGTTTGTTTTAAAAATGCAAGCCATTTACTTACAGCTAATCTTGCACATTCTGGAAGTGTCTCATCAGGTAAGCATTTATCTCTGAGTTGTAACATCTCTTTTACCAGCACTTCCACTTCTTCAAAGGTTGCTTCTTGAACATATTGAGCAACTGCAATGACGGTGCTGCAACAGTCCACACAGAATACACGGTGGTCATCTGTAGATTCTCCATTAGCATACAACAAAAACTCATAGGAATATCCACTTGCTGACTACCCTCAGGAAATTATCTAAGAAGTGTGAAGGTTATAAATTTCACAGCTTCTAGACAGTTCAACCTCCTCATTTGAATTTTAAGGTTAATTCTGTACTTACTTTTTTAATAGTGCCTCTAATTAAATTATATTTGATCATCATTAACATTTTTGGAATATATATATATATATGTATGTATATATAAATGTATCTACATACTTATGGATAAAAATACAATAACATCATCATCAAAAATGGTTTAAAAAAACTCACAGAGATCCAACATTATCATCTATAAATTTCTGAGTGACGTGGAAATTGTCTGAAAAGCAAGGATATTTAGGTTATTACATATCCTGATATTTTAACATTTTCACAACAAAGATGTATTTTTGACATCTAAGTGCACAAAACAAAAATAGAAAACTGACGGTAGAAAATAATTTGGAATATTTCCCAAGAAGGAGAGAAGTCATGAACAACATATAAGATCTTAATCACATCCGATTATGTTCTCAAGAAATATTCATTAGGTTGAAAAAAAAAAAAAATTCATTATGTTGAATTGACCTAATGAATTAATCTCAAATTGACCAGATTTCAGATCTGTCATTGAAGGCTTCCCAGCCACAAATGTCAAGTACAAGAGCCATTTCCAGCTCTGGGTGCCACAAACAGTTAAGCACTCAACTACTAACCAAAATGTTTGCAGTTTGAATCAAGCCATATGCACCTTGGAATAAAGGCTTGGCCATCTGCTTCTGAAAAGTCACAGCCATGAAAGTGCTGCAACATGTGTGGCTGCCATAAGTCAGAACTGACTTGACAATGAGTAATGTTAATTTGGTCCCATGCTAAATGTCTATCATTTATGATTAGAGATGTAATTCAAAGATTCACTGAAATGGGATGGAATGGCATGACAGGGCCCGATGGATGAAGTCTTACCACACTGGTTGTCACTGCTAGCCAGACACAGATACTAGGTGATCTCTGGACTAGCTTAAAAGCATTTATTCCCTTTCAGTGGTCATATACTCATCAGAGTGGTTTACATTTATCCACAGAGACTACACTTATGGACTCACTACTTTTTCTGAAGTATTGTGCTGGACACTGTGAGGTAATCAATGATGACTGCAATATCTTCCCTGAACTTCAGGTTGCTATAAGCACTCTCACAGGAGTAATGACTTGTGCACATGAGTATAATCCAATACAGAATGACGTCAGGATAAGATGGAGGCCCTGAGTGGCGGTAACCAAAAGCTAGAGGTTCCAGGCAACCAAGAGGTGTCTTGGAAAAGCCTACTGATTACTTCTGAGAAATCAGCCATTGAAAATCCTATGAAACACAGTTCAGATCTGACACACACTGGTCATGATGAGTCAGAGTCATCTTAACCACAACTGGAAGTATATGACAGAAATGCTTTATGACTCTTAGGTGACTAATCAGAAAATCATTACAGTGGTGGCATATGACTTGAGTCTGAAAGAATGTATACTATTTCACCTAATAGAGAAATAAGAATTGTGGAGACAATTAAGTGAATCAAAATTCAAAGGTGAGAAATCTTGGAATCTGTTTGGGGAAAGATGATTAAACAATTTTGATAAGAAACTGGATCATAAGGAGGAAAGATGGGACCTAAGTATGGAAAGACCTTGGGTCCAGATTCTAGGTCTTGAATATAAAGCTAAGGAGTCTGGGCTTCAGTTGGAAGCTATGGAGAACCACTGAAAAGTTTATACATGACAGTAATATGATCATTTCCATACCTTAAAAAATATCAGTCAGGTAGTAGTGTATCTAATATGCCATATTCCCACAGTACCTAACAAATAAAAAGTGATAATAACTATTCATCACTCAGATGGATGGAAAAATGCAAGAAGGTCATTAGGAAATGTGTCCTGCTGAGAAATTGGGAGGCTCTGAATTTTGGCAGGTGTAATGGGAATAAAGAGGAAAACATACATGGAAAATACATTAAAGAGATGAAAATCAATAGAATTTTGCAACAGGTTGCTATAAGGGGCAAAAGAGATTGAGAATTCAAGAAAGTTTGCTCTTCTTCAAGCCCTGTGACTGGTCTCTTAAGTCAACAGGCACTGTGGATGATGACAAATTGAGTAGGATACAACCCACATCTTCAGGGCCATAGTGATGCTTATAGCACCTTCATTCAAGTTACAAAAACTTGCCCTTCTAGATGAAAGAAAGTATAAAAAGACACCATCCTTCTGGACAGGTGAAGTTCCAAGTGACTACTGTTTGGGTGGAAGAAACATATATCCCTTCTCAAGGCTGAAACTACCTGAGCCAGGCTTCTAGGAAATGCCTTGCCACACAAAAACTACACAGTCAGAGAAGAAAGTGGGTCCTGCATGCCTTCAAGGTATTTACCATCTAATTGGAAGATAAAATGAAAAGATCCAGAATAATTCCAACTCACATACATTTCTCACTGTTACCATAAACCATATACATTTGGTCACTGGTAATATGATCACAATAGGTAATATGACAACCAAGACATAAATTCTAGGAAAGTTAATTTGAAATTCCTGACAAGTATATATAAACAAGATGGAGGGAGAAAAAGCAAGTGAAGAATTAAATTGAAATAAAACAAGGTAAGAAAAAAAATTATTCCAATTTCAGCCATTCCTTACGTAACATACAAGAAAATTTCTTACCTACATCTGGAAGCTTTGTGGGCAGTGTTAGGGATTCAGTAAAAAAGAAACCAAGAAAACAATAAAAAAAAACTGTAAGTTTTAACTGTTTCATTTTTACAGAAATCACATTCACAAAGAGATAGTATGACTGGGGAAAATAAAGTTTTTATACTACGCTCTGACACCAACAGTAAAAAAGTAGCCTGTTTAATCTATTTTTTTATACCACATATTGATTTTCATTTGATTACACGGCAGAATTTTTGGCTAATTATTAACTTGGACAAAATTGTCACTGTGTTTCACTGAAAAAAAAATCTATTGAGTTAAAAAAAGAAAAAGAAAAGGTCCATAATACAAAATCAAATAGAAAAAAATCTTGAAATACTGTAAATGCTAAAGAGAAAAGGACCACAATAGCTAATTTCCCAAAAAAAGAAATACAACTAGGAAGATGCTAAATTTCATTGGTATTCAAAGGAATAAAGAATTCAAATTTTTAAATAATGCAGTTACAATTTCAAAAAGAGAAAAAAAAATGAGAATATTTAATTCTGGTAAACACGGAGGAAAACATGTACCCTCATATAATCAAAGTTTGGGAAAATAAGTTTATAATAAAGATTAAATATAACAAATAAAGAAAAATATCCATGTCCTTTGAACTAATCATTTAAATTCTGGGAACATGTATACTAACCAAAAGCTTGGGGGTTCAAATCGAGCCAGAGGCGCTTTGGAAGAAATGGTTGATATCTACTTCTGAAAGAACAGCCACTGAAAATTCTATGGGGAGCACAGTTCTAGTTTGAAACACATGGGATTGCCATAAGTTCAAAGTTACTCCACAGCAGTTGGTTTGGTTTTTGAACTAAAAATACGAATCTACGTATATATCTACTTGTAGATTATTATTACCATTAATGAAGGATTAAGTATGTATTAGTCTTCATCTTTGTTGCCTATAACTCTTGTGCTTCTCCAAGTGTCTTCCTTTGCCTTGATCATTTTGTGCCGACCTCTCCCTTATTATATATTGTCTTACCCTTCACCTAAGTTAATACATGTCCACGTTCTCATTAGTGGTTTATCCTTCCTTCCCTTCCTACCCCAGATAACCTTCAAAGAATGTTTCTTTCTGTATGTGTAAAACTTTTAGTGACATAGATAGATATCCAAGCAGAGCAGGGGAGGGAAGGCAAATGGGACTATACCCACAAATATTCATCAGTTTGACAGAGGAAACTTCTACGTATGTATTAACATGTGCTGCACATATATACATGAAGATAGCAGAGCACACAGGGGCAATGTTATGTACACTTATAACTAAACACTTTGGGGGAATTAATTACTGGGCCTGGGAGCTCAGGAACATAGTTTCGGGAGGCACTAGGTCAATTGGCATAACATAGGCCATAAAGAGTGTCTTACATCCTACTTTGGTGAGTAGTAACTAGGGTCTTACAACCTAGTGAGCAGCCATGTAAGGTGCCACTGGTTTCTCCCTGTCAAAGCAAAGAAGAGTGAAGAAAATCAAAGAGGAAATGGGAACAACCAGTCCAAAAGACTGTTGGACCAACTCCACCCTCCATGACTCTGACACCAGAAGAACTGCATGGTGCCTGAATACCACTACTGACTGCTCTGAAAGGGATCACAATAGGAGGTCATGGATAGAGTGGGAGAAAAATGTGGAACAAAATTCAAAAGGACAAAAAAAAAGACCAGGCTTACTAGTTAGATAGAAAATGGTGGAACCCTCAAGACTATGGCCATTAGAGACCTTCAGGCCTAGAATTGAACTCACACCCCAGTAGAGGAACTTTTAGCAAAACAATCTTGTTGCTGTTGTTAGGTGCTACAGGCTCCAACTCATACCAATGCTCTGTACAACAGAATGAAACACTGGCTAGTCCTGCACCATCCTCACAATCTTTGCTGTGCTTGAGCCCATTGTTGCAGCTACTGTGTCAATCCATCTCACAGAGGGGCTTCCTTTTTTTTTTTTTTTTGCTGCCCCTAGAAGCTCTGGTGGCACAGTACCTAAGGCGTTTGACTGCTAACCAGAAGGCAGGTGGTTCAAACACACCAGCCACTCCTCAGAAGGAAGATTGGGCAATCTACTTCCATAGTGATACCACTTCACAAACTCAAGGAGGGGTCGCTATGAGTCGGATCTGACTCAACGGCAGTAAGTATACTTTGCCAGGCATGATATCCTTCCCCAGGGACTGATCCCTTCTGACAACATGATCAAAGTTCAAGAGGCTAAGTCTCGCCATCTTTGCTTCTAAGAAACATTCTGGCTGTACTTCAAAGCCAGATTTGCTTATTCTTCTGGCAGTCCATAGTATATTCAGTATTGTTTGCCAACATGACAATTCAAATGCATCAATTCTTCTGTGGTTTTCTTTATTCATTGTCCAGCTCTCACATATATATGAGGTGATTGAAAACACCATGGCTTGGATTAGGCACACCTTAGTCTTCAAAGTGACAGCTTTGCTCTTCAACACTTTAAAGTGGTCTTTTACAGAAGATTTTTCCCAATGCAATATGATATCTGATTTCCTAACTGCTGCTTCAATGGATGTTAATTGAGGATCCAAGTAATATGAAATCTTTGACAGATTTCCACTTTTTCTCCATTGAGTGTGATGCTGCTCATTGGTCCAGTTGTGAGGATTTTTGTTTTCTTTATGTTGAGGTGTAATCCATACTGCAGAGTGTAGTCTTTAGTCTTCCTCAATAAGTGTTTCAAGTCATCTTCACTTTCAGCAAGCAAGGCTGTGTCATCTGTATATCACAGGTTGGTAACGAGTCTTCTTCCAATCCTGATGCCACATTCTTCTTCATATAGTCCAGCTTCTTAGATTATTTGCTCAGCATACAGATTGAATAAGTATGCTGAAAAGATACAACTCTGATGCACACCTTTCCTGATTATGAACTATAGAGTATCCCCTTGTTCTGTTTGAATGACTATTTCTTGGTCTATGAACAGGTTCCTCATCCAAACAATAGACAGGCCTTAAGGTGAACAATAACACCTGGGTGGTATGCACTTCTTCCAACAATCAATCCTATGAGATCAAAAGGGCAGCATTTGCTCAGGAATAAAGCTCAGAAGAGAGGAAGGAAAAGGAAAGAAGTATGAATGGAAATGATAAACACAAAGAAGAAATGCATTGTGAGAATTACAATCACAAAACAAAATTTCTGTAATTTTTTAATGAAAACAAATTTTGTCTATAAACTTTCACCCAAATCATAACAAAAAGTTTTAAAATCAATAAATAAAATAAAATTCTATATATGAAAGTATTTTAAGTACATGATTAAAAAAAGAAATCTATTTCTTAGCTTTGTCTACTGAAAGATCCTGAAAACAGTAACAAATAAGGAGCAAACAGCATATTTAGTGCACACATCTCTAAATGTTATTCTCTACTAAAAAGAATGAGTCCAGGTCTGGGACAAGAAAAGTGTAAGGTGAGCCTGGAACATCTTGCATAGAAAAAAAGGAAATGCTCAAAAACTGATAGGGCATGTTAAAACAAAATAGAAGCCAGTAAGGGGCTGGGAGAAGGGTGGGGGGGACATAATTATAGCTATTAATTTAAAAATAAAGGAATTCATCATTTATGTTTTGTTGTAAGGTGCCATTGAGTTGGTTCCAAATCATACTGATCCTATGTATAACAGAACATAACATTACCCGGTCTTGTGCTATCTTCATAATTGTTGCTATGTTTGAGGTCACTGTTGCAGTCACTGTGTCAATTAAGAAGGTCGTCCTCTTTTTCACTGACCCTTTATTTCACCGAGCATGATGTCTTCTTGAGGAATGGTCACTCCTGATAACATGTCAAAAGTCCATGAGACAAAGTATCACCATCCTTGCTTCTAAGGAGCATTCTGGCTTTACTTCTTCCAAGACAGATTTGTTCCTTCTTCTGGCAGTCCATGCTATATTCAATATTCTTTGCCAACACTATAATACAAAGTCATTGATTCTTCTTTGAACCTTTTTCACATGCATATGAGACAGGTGAAAATACCATGGCTTGGGCTGTTGTTGTTGTTGTTAGGTGCCATCAAGTGGTTTCCAACTCATAGCGACCCCATGCACAGCAGAACAAAACACTGCCCAATCCCGCACCAGCTCCACGATCCCTGCTATATTCGAGCCCATCATCGCAGCCACCATGTCAATCCATCTCGTTGAAGGCCTCCCCCTCTTT